TGAAAAAGACATGGGGTATATTTGTCTTAAAATGGTAAAACATTGCGTTCCACAAACGTGGAACAAACCCGTTCCAGGGGGGGAGGTGGAACGCAAAAACACTCAAAATCTGTCCCGTGGAACAGCCCGTTCCACCCATTTTTGGCGCACCAAACGCGGGATGGAACGCCTCGTCCCGTTCTGCAGGGAGAAATGTGTTTTTTAGATAACATTGACACTCTTACATAATGTTATTAATCGGTTTATAATTTTAGGTGGAGGGAAGGAGTAATATATCTTTTTAGTATATTTAAGTTCAAAAAGGATGGTGAGTTGAGTTTTTTTTAGTTTTCTTCTCCAATGCAAAAGGTTTAGGCCATACTAGCTCCACTTCCGGTGCCATATCATGAATATGTCTGTCTATTCACAAAATTTTCTAAACGTATAATTCTTCAACTACGATAAACTGTAAATTTCTCATTCGTCCTATTGCAAATTTAAAATTTAAGAACATGGGCAAACAGGGGTGGATCTATTAAGGGACCAGGGTGGTCCCAGGACCACCTAAAACTCGGAAAAATGACTGTGAGGATCTTCAAGGACCACCCAAGTCTGGGCAGTGATGGAGAAGAACAGCAACCATGGCTACTGCACGCTGTGCATTTTAGGATGAGGAAGAAGAAAGCCAAATCTTTTTTCAAAATGACTTGGCTAAAACGACATCGTTTTGAGCCAAGTCATTAAAAAAAAATTAAAACCTCACTCACGAGTCACGTGAGAACCCTCACACCATAGAGCAATCAGCTCCTTCAGCAATCAAAACCTTCACTTTACCAATAATACCTAATCGTCTACGGCTCGACCCGCTCCTGTTCCTTACTGCATCAATCAACTCTCTGCTGCACTCTAGTTCCTGTTCACTGTTGCACCGACGGGTAGGGCGATGAGTTGACGACATATCTGGTGAAAATCTGTAACCCTTCTACATTTTTTTCTCCGTGTAAAGCTCTGGTCTGGAGGCTAGCCGTTGGTCCTCTTCTTCTTGGTCGAAGAGGTTTGTAGTTTGTACTCTCTTTGACTCTGTCCATTAAATAATTTTGCCATCCACAGATCCACTATCTTATAGTGTTAGTATATATGAATCATGAATGTGTAGGTGGGTGGGGAGTAGAGGAAATTTATGCTTATGAAATGTTTGATATTTGGTCTGAAAGAGAGTAGATTATCTAAAGAAGTGGTAATGTGTGTAACGTGTTGGCTAAATATTATGAATTGGAGCGTAGAACTAGTTTCTAATGTTAAATGGGTGGGTAAAGATTGGTGCTTTCTTTCGATATTCGTTTCGTGTTTTTGTGTAATGTGTTGGCTATATGTATTGTGAATTGGAGTGTACAACTAGTTTGTGAGCTAAAAGGGTGTGTAAAAATTTGTGCTTTCTTTCGATATTGTTTCCGTGCTTGTCTGAACTTGAGGTGGTAGTGGAATTGCAGGGACTACTTGGTAGAGTATAGTGAGTTGATCAAGCTGCAGCCTTTGGAAGGCGTAAACTATATATTCTACAATCTGTGCGTTTCTCACAAGTGCAAGGTATGTTTTCGTTCACCTCTCTAGTCATTGCCTTTGTGTCTGCATTTTTGGTATATGCAGAAGATAAGTAATTCGCTCCTATGAGATGTAACAGCTATTGCACTCTCTTATTCAACTCTCAAATGTATGAATAGCATGCTTTCAGCCTAGTTGCAATTTTTACTCGAATTTTAACTGTTCTACAGTTCAAATGGATAGAGGCACATGGAGCTTTATAATCTTATAGACTAGGCAATTAGCACTTGGGGTAACCTTCTGTGTTTGTCTTTGGCATTCATAATATTAGAATCCCACGGGCACAGACCTAATTATAAATTCATAAATGAATATGATTTCTCGTTTTTCATATAATATTTGTTTAGTTTCATCAATGATATAGATTTTTTTATTAATTGATATGTGTAGAAATTAGAAGTATGGAACGATATTACAAGCGAAAATCATCATCGATTAGTTCGGACAATCATATTCCAAATAGTTCATCTCCAAACTTGGAAAGTTCCAATCGTATTCCGAACAGTTCCCCTCCAATTCCAAGTAGTTCGAATCCAATTGGGGGTAATTCCACTCCACAACAAAATGAGTTAAACGTTGATTTGGATAATCTTGAGAGAGACCCCGGAAAGACACGTTTTCAAAGGATGAGATCCCGTCGTGGACAAATTTAGTATTTCTAGCTTGTTTAGCATAAAAATTATGAATGAAAATTGTAGTTTGCCATTTATTTGTTCAATGATGTTTTCGTCTTGTTTTTTTTTTTATTGGAGCTTTTATATTGAGACCACCCTAAGTTAAAATTATGGATCCACGACTGTGGGCAGATAGAGCAATACTTATATACCGGGATTTTCCTGAATTTTCTACTTCAATTTAGCAGATAATTGCGCAAGAGTTTTACTCCAAATTGAGCAGATAGATGTATGGTCTGTCTCACGGTGGAATTGCCAATCGCCAAGACGAATTAGAAAATCCAATTCAAACTAGGCTATGTTTGAACAAAGGGACTATTAAAATGTAAGATATTGAGTTCACGTGAGTAAAGAATGGACCATAAAATGTATAGATGAGGTTAGCAATACGAAGGCGTGTGATTGAGATTTCAAAGGACACCTTTCAAGTAGGGTTTTGCAAGATCTCATATGCGTTTGTAATGTTCATGGAGGACATTGTTAAACCCGTCTGTGTATTTTTAAGGTCCATCTTTTACTTATTTGGACTCAATTTTTTGAAATTTGAAAATTCCTGAATCAAACATAGCATAAGAATTCTGGAGTTTTACGTCCATGAGGGTTAGGAGAACTCTCTTCACAGATACTTAGTAGACTACTAAGTCACAACCTGCCTGTAGTAGGACACAATATAGAATTGGGCTTTATGGCTGCACGCATTCAGCCGTATGATCGCCGGTTAGAGGTGTCAAATGGGCAGGCCGGCATGGGCAAGGTACGGGCATGACCCACTTAGATAGGTATGACCAGGCACAATTCATAAGAAGTGGTCAGGCCGGATTTAAAGATTTAGTCCAAATGGGTCGACTGGCACACGGCCCGCGACCCTGGCCATTATGAATAATCTCATTTATTCATTATTTTTCATTTACAAACATATGTTTTAAGGTTAGTAAGACTTTATGTTAGTGATATTTAGGTTAATAACGTGTTCAAAGAAGTTTCTTTAGATTTTAAAATAACTAAAAGTTTGTTTTGATGAACTCGTCCATTTTAGCGACCAGGCCTAGTACGACCCCCAGATCCTAATGGGCCAAGGCCACAAGCTGGATTGGGTCTAATGTTTTATTAAGTGGGTTGACCCAAGCACGATTTGTTTATTAAGTGAGCCATTTGACAACTCTGTCACTGATTAGGAGTTTTTATGCATTAATATTATTTAAGAAGAAGTACGATAACCATTTCATAATCTGGTTTTAGTTTTAGTTTTAGTTTTTATTAAAACTAAAAACTCATTTGATAACTAGTTTTAATTTTCAAAAATATAAAACGGAAAACCAAGAATTGAAACCTAGTTTTTATGAGTTTTCAAATTTTGGCTTACATTTATCAATTTTTATTTGAAAACTAAAAGTGCAAATTTTGAAAATGAAATAGTTAAGCAAGTATATATGGAAAAAATCCCTTTAGCCTAAATTTCTTGTTATCACTAAACCTTAAAGGCTCATGAGAAAAGAGCAGAGAGAACGTGTTTTAATTTTGGAAAAGATATACATTTTTCAAACACTATGAACATAATGATAAAATCCAAAGAGGTGTCTGTGTGCGACATATTTAGGATATAATACAGTTCTGCCGTTCTAAACCAATTTAATTAACGTTAAAGACAATCAAACAATTTCTTAATCTAATCATATAAGGAGCATGCATGCCATGGAGGGAGGCAGTATGTCCCTAACCATGACATTTTCTCATTTTCCACTTCGAATATGTTAATTGAAGGAAATCTTATTATCATTACACAAAGAACGGATAATTATATTTATTTATTTGAGGTTAAAAGTGATTTCATTAATAATCAACCGTATGAACAAAGAGACTGGCATGCGAAAACGAAACTCTACAAGCCAACAATACAACGTTATGTAGAGAGAGTAACATAAATAGTGAAAAAAAAATATTGCATTTTTACATGTATCATTCGTGTAAACTGAAGTTACGTTGATCAAGTTGTTGTTTATATTCTTTTTTTCAATAATAAGAAATATCTCAAGTTCGAATCGTCAACCATACGAGTAAATAAGAAAAAAGAGTTTTGCTTCCTTGGGTTCACACTTCACACTCATTTTAGCTAGGATTCATTTCCTTTGTAAAAACGAAAAGGAAAAAAAGGACTTATCGATACCGACGGCCGGTGGTGATTAATTTTGAATTGGATTACACTTGATGTGTTAATTTGTCCGACTCTTAACATGGTTTAGATAATATCACTGCTAGAGATAAAAGTAAGGACGTTCCTTAATGTTGATTAGTACTAATCCATTGACTGGGATGGGATAAACTAGATCGATGGCGATGTGAGCTTGTCTATTAAGCTCACTATATATGTCGTATACCAATTAGTTAACCAAATCACACGGAATGCTAGGTGACCTTAGTTTGTCCATTCCCGAATCATCTCCTACTGTGGCGTAGCTCAGTTTGTCAAAATCCTTGTATAACTTTTCTTTTCGAAGACCAAATAGTATACAGTCTAGTAATGTTTCTTCATTTATAAGTGAGAGTTCTTTTAGAGCCACATGAATGGTGACGACTATAGAAACTGAGAGGAAAATATCTTTCTGAAATATTACAATTTCATTACTTAACAAAATAATTACACGAGTATGGTATTTATAGTCATAACAACAATAACAACTAATAACCTCTCTAACTAACTTGTACACATAGCACATTACAAGTAGGTAATTAAAAACAGAATGTATGTCATGATTTGGCATCCTCATCTTTACACCCCCTCAAGCTGAGCTTGGAAGAAGTTGGAGTTCCAAGAGATAGCTTGGATTGAAGAAGAAGAAACCGGTTCTTGGTCAAAGATTTGGTGTGAATATCAGCAATTTGGTCCTCAGTACACACATTCCGAACTTGAAGCAGATTAGCAAGAACCAACTCTCGAATGTAATGATAATCTATCTCAACGTGCTTTGTTCGAGCATGAAAGACAGGATTGGAGGCAAGAGAGATAGCAGATATGTTATCACACCAGATTGTAGGTTTGGAAGATAAGGGAAAACCAAAATCTTGAAACACCTTACAGATCCATGTCAGTTCAACAGCAGCCAGAAATCGATATTCAGCTTCAGTGGAGGATCTAGCCACTGTAGGCTGCTTCTTAGCACTCCAGCTGATTAAGTTTGTGCCAAGATATACGCAAAAGCCGCTGGTGGAACGACGATCAAATAAACAACCAGCCCAATCGGCATCAGAAAATGCAGAAAGATTAAGAGAACTTTTCTGAAACCATAAACCATGATCAGAGGTGCCTTTGAGGAATCGGAGAATCCTTTTAGCAGCTTGCAGATGAAGATCAGTGGGAGTATGCATGAATTGGCATACTTGATTGACAGCAAAAGAGATATCAGGCCTAGTCCAAGTCAAATACTGTAAGGCACCAACCAGGGATCGGTATTCAGTGGGATTGGAGAGAGGAATGCCACTGTGATCCAGTTTAGTAGTGCCAAGAGGAGTACAACATGGCTTGGCACCGTCCATTTTGGTTTTCTGAAGCAAATCCAGAAGATATTTGCTTTGATGAAGAAATAATCCTTTTGATGAGCGTTGAACTTCCAAGCCCAAAAAATAGTGAAGATGACCTAAGTCCTTGACTGGAAACAGAGACCCAAGTTTCTGAATAAACTGCTGGCACACTGTCGGATCGGGACCACTGATCAAGATGTCATCCACATAAACCAATACTATAACTAGAACAGGATCTTTGATGACAAAAAGAGATGCATCAGAACAAGATTGAGTAAAACCAATGGACTTGAGAGCTTGAAAGAGTTTATCAAACCATGCCCGAGGAGCCTGTTTAAGGCCATATAGAGACTTGTTGAGTTTACACACATGATTTGGCAGATTAGAATCAGTAAAACCAAGAGGTTGTTGCATAAAATACCTAGTTAGTAACTGACTCATTCTGTGACCTTTCCGAATTCTCTTTTATAGAATAAAATATTGTTGTATCAAAAAACTTGTTTTCAAAGAGCATATTTATCACCATTACGTGGTGGTGTGCATAACATTAGCTATTCTTAGATACGTGTGATTTAATTTATGTGCTTACGATGGGTGCAGATAGATCTAAACCATGTGCGATAATCACCAAAAGCTCAGTATAACAAATAAACCAAGAATCATTCTTTATAGAATTTTTATCACAAATGGTCCTTGAAATTGACCCTCACCATTAAAATTGTAACATCCTACATCGCACAGGGGAGTGGATCCTGTAAGCCTTATATGTATATTCCCATCTCTATCTAGCACGAGGCCTTTTGGGAGCTCACTGGCTTCGGGTTCCATCGGAACTCCGAAGTTAAGCAAGTTAACCCGAGAGCAACCCCATGATGGGTGACCCACTGGGAAGTTCTCATGTGAGTTCCCAAAAACAAAACCGTGAGGGCATGGTCGGGGCCCAAGGCGGACAATATCGTACTACGGTGGAGTTGTGCCTGGGATGTGGTGGGGGCCCAGGCTGGGATGTGACAACGATGGTCCCTAAAATTGAAAATCAATCAATGTAGTCCTTGAAAATAGGTGTCGTAAATCAATGCAGTCATTTCGTCCAAGGTTCTAAAAAACGCTAGGCGCTAGTCGGGCGGCGAGCTACCGCCTAGCGCCTAGGCGGCTAGGCGGGATCTAGGCAGGCGCCTAGGCGAATTTAGGTAAATTTCTTGTATATCTTGTAATAAGTGCATATTGACACATAAAAAATTATACTTATATGAAATTCATGGATAAGATAATAAAATAATGATAAAATTAAAAAAGAGTATCCAACAAGTTCAAATTTTAAAAACACATTAAGCAAATATACCATATAACTTAAGACATTTTGAATGATTGGTAAGTTAAATTAATTAAATTCAGAGAGATAAAATATAATTCAAGACATTTTAAATAATTAGTATTTAGTTTTAAACAATAAATATTTAAAAAAAAATCCACCTAGTGGGTTGGGTAGTTCATAAACATTTAAAAATAAAAAATTTGTTCATAAAAATCCACGTGTGAGGTTTGAGTCTTTGACATCTCCCCCCCCACCCCACTTTCTCACATCAGCCTTACTGCCTTAGGATTCCAAAAGCAAGAGCCCTTTTTATGCCTTGGAAAGCGGATCCATTATTTTTTTTTTGGGGTTTTCTTTTCCTCTTATTCCTTGGAAAGAGGAAAGTCATTAATGTTATGAATTTTTTTCCTTTTCCTCTTCTTCTTATTCTTTGATTACTCTGTTTTTCCATTTCCTCTTCTTCTGTTGCTTTGTAAATTTCCACAGCAGCCTCTCTCCCTTCTTTTCCGAGCTTATTCCTGCTTCCAGGGCGCTCACTCTCTCTCTCTCTCTCTCTCTCTCTCTTTTAGTCGCCAAATAGCCCAGCGTCTGCACAGACCTTGCTGATTTAAGAAACGATTTTGAGTTAATCACGGCAGAGCACCGCCGCCTAGCACCCAAGCACTGCCTAGGTGGCCGCCTCAACCGTTTTTTAGAACACTGATTCCGTCACAATTATGTTTAAAATTCTGTTAAGTGCTGATGTAGCACTTAAATGGGCCCCACAAGATTTACGCGTTTTTATTACAAATGATCTCTGAAATTGCCCCACACCGTCAAGATGGTCCTTAAAATTGAAAATCGATCAATGTAGTCTCTGAAAATAGGTGTTACAAATCAATATAGTCTTTCCGCTCCAATTATGTAAAAGAAATTATTATGTGCTGATATGAGTTAATAATTTAATAATTAATTAAAAAAAAATTGTCTAAATTTTTTTTGCACAATGGAATTTTTTTTTTCTTATAGTAGGGCCTACTCCAAACAGAGATCCCTTCCATAAACTCTCAAAGGCACAAGGCTTAACTAAGGCCTAAAAGGGGGTTTGGAAATATTTTCAACCAACAATAGATGTGCCTCAGTTAGAAACTTATTATCTCAAGGCAAATCTCGTCGTTCTCTACTACACCAGACCACCAGGAGAGCGCCTAACAAGCTCTTCAAGATTAAAGTTGCGAGGATGTTGATCACCTAAATGTTAACGGTGATCTCACAAAAGTCCTCACCAAATCAAGTCATGACCAAAAGTCGTCTCGATCCAAGTCCAATTCGGTGAAGGATGTCGAAGTGTGTAAATATGGGTGCATTGAGAATTTTATTTTATTATTTTATTTATTTATTTTTCTAGAGAATAGACAGCAAAGGCTACCATAGATGGAGGTAAAGGAATGTGGACTGGAATCGAAGGTGATTACGGGACTAGGTTTTTGGGTTGACAACCTTTTTATTAATTATTAAACTGTTAGACTTGTGTGACATATTTAATTAGACTTGTGTGACATATTTATGTGTCACATCAACACATAACAGAATTATTGATAGAATTGTGACATAATGACTACATTAATTTGAGACACTTACTTGTGGTACTACATTGGTCGATTTTCAATTTCAGGGACCATTTTGATGTCTCGGATCAATTTTAGAGACCATTTTGATATCGTGGGTCAATTTCAAGAACCATTTGTGATTAAAGGACTTATGGGGCCCATTTATGTGCCACATCAGCACCTACCAGAATTTTTAACATAACTGTGACTGAATGACCATATTGATTTGCAACACCTATTTTCAAGGATTGATCGATTTTCAATTTCAGAGATCATCTTGATGGTGAGAGTCAATTTTAGAGATAATTTGTGATTTAAAAAAATAAAAAATAAAATAAAAATAAAAACCCTTCTTTATAAGTGTAGTTGAAAGGCTGGTAAGACTGCTTCCTAAACACTGAAATTGGAATTCCAATTACTACAAGAAAAGGTCCATGTCTAAAGTAAAGAGTCGTAATTTAGAATATTCTAATTCTTACGGGAAAAGGTCAGAAGCATTTTAATGTTGGGATTAGGACGTATTTTTTGATTAATTCACAAAACCGATTTATTGGGATCCCATTATCTCCATGTTTGTGAACAAGCCGTCTTCTCACCAATAATCATGTTAAGACTTGCGGTGGAGCACCTGTTTGCATCCTTCTTGCCAGCTTCTGCCAGCTCCTATTCATCAACTTAAACATATGTTTACAAGTCACTAAATAAAATAAGACCAAACAAATTCCACTCAACTGATCACTATGATGGGATACAATACCAAACACTATTAGTAAGCTACTTTGTTATAATATTGGAGAATAATAATTTATGCACATCACCACGAAGTATACATATATTACTTATAGCTGATATATCACGTGATATCATAATAGCATGCTGCAAATTGATTTAAGTTAAAAGTATGTGTAGCAACATATTAATATCCAAACCCTAGATCCAAGATGGCAAAACCAAGACTTGGTGAGGTAAATTCGAAAGAATTTAGTATATTGCATCGACAAGTCAAGTGGTATATCGATTGTTGAAAGCGTATTCATACTCCATCACACTAAATTGTTATTACCATATACATTAGAATTAATGATTATGCTAAAGCATAATTTTTTATTTTTTATTTTTTAAAAAGAGGAATAACTGAAGGTAAGCCATGGTTATCCTCCCTTCTGGGTATAGAGAGGTTATGAGGAATTTCACCCTATCCGTTCAAGCAAAAGAATTGGTAATTTTCACAAGGAAAAAGATGGGACGAGAGTAGTCCTCTTCAAATGCCCCAGAACTTACGCGTTTTTCATTCCGATCCTCCATGCACGGAGTCAAAGGACGCGAAGAAGACAATAAGCTTTTGGAAGCCAAGGAATATTTTATTGTGTTAGTTGAAATGAGCATGTTAGTTGTTTTCCATTTGCAACTCAGCAACGGTGACATGATTAAAACTATAATATAATCTGTTAAAATAAGATTACACATTATAATACATTTTCTCCCACCCCAGTTATCCCACACAGGACGGCTAATCACACAGCTCACATATACGATACATGTGCCATACATTTGGTAAGAGTCTATTGTATGCAACAAAAGGTCCTCATCCAAATGGCCTGCACATGCTTTTTATCTATCCTATGCATATTAATCATAGTAACAATATTCATGGATACTTTTTGTAGTAAAATACAATTTCGAATATAGGGTTTTTTTTTTTAAATATAAAAAGATATATAGGTTATAAATATACACATTAATCAATCAACAATGGTCGTTTATCAAATTTAAACTCAAAATCTCATATAGCAAAGTAAAGATTGAATGTTATACGGCAACTAACTACAAGAAGAATATTGATTATGCAACATTTATTATATTGTAAACGACAACTCCAATTGATTATGCAAATTTGGTGCATTTGATGGCAATCTAAAGAGTTAAATACTATGTTGGTTCTTGTATTTTGCTCAATTTTTCATTTTGGTCTTTGTGTTTGGAGTTTTATGAATTTGAGTGATGTGTTTTTCTCATTAAATATTTTTTTTTAATTTTGTGAGTTATTGTGCTACACATACATAGGCACATGAACTCTAAAATTACTCAAAAATGATCAAACTGACTAACAGATATAAGCATAAGTACCAAATTGAAAATCACAACAAATCACAAGAATCAAAAAATTAATCTAAATAACCATAGAATGCATGTTAAATGAAATGGTGTGATTGCTGATAATGAAAGACTCATTTTTGTAAACCCACCCACCAAGCTTGTAGTTGTTGAAAAGGGCAAAACGACCGAATCCAGACTGTTAAAAGCTGAGCTCTGCACTATTATATTACTAAGAAAACTAATACACCAGAAAATGCGGTAGAAAGAGACGTATTACTAACCCTCATCAGCAACCAAAAACATGTGATTTTCAAACCATTTCCCCCATCGTCATACAATCTTAAAGCTCACAAACCATGTTTACATCAATGATGATTTTAGGGCCTTGTCGGTGATTCAGGAATAATTACACGCATATATTGTCTTAACTTAAATACATA